AACTGGTAGGACTCCAGGAATTCAGAACCGGGAGGTACACCATCAAGTGTTGGAAGAGGTACACATAACCGAGGAGGAGGTGAAGATGCTGCTTTACGAACTTGATACCTTAAACGCGGTGGGACAGACTACATCTCTCCTTGGGTTCTTAGAGAGGGAGCAGAGATGCTGTGTGTGCCACTAACAAAGATCTTCAACACAACCATTGAAACTGGGCAACTACCTGAGGTATGGAAGATGGCAAATGTAGTCCCAATTTTTAAGAAAGGAGACAGGTATGAGGCATTTAACTACAGTCCTGTTTCACTAACGTGTAGTATATATAACGTGTATAGTATATATGATCTGTATAGTATATATTGATATATGAAGGAAGTGCTTGTGGAGAGCGTCATGACAACTTTACCTACGGAATATTGGCATATTTATTAAAACTGGACGCTGGATCAAACACTAAAAGAATTAAAATCATGTCCAAATAAAACAGACTGTAAATAAAATAAATTGATAGTGTTTAAAAAATAAATGTTGCTGATAATGTCTCAACATTTATCAGTAAACAAGGAAACTGTTTGAAGTTAATGAGCTGTCGTCCTCCATTTCTGTTCATCAAATCTAATCACCTTTTCATTTCCCTACGGCTTTAGTGCTTCTCCAAAAAATGCAAATAAGACTATGCTTTCCATTTCACAAGCAATCCTTCACTACTATAATTTAGTTAACTGACCCTTGACCCATTATCGATCTATATATCTATCTCTATATATATAAATATATATATAAATAAATGGGGTCCACCTCTGGTGTAAATTGTGGGACCCATAGCCTCGGAGAAGTGGATAAAAAGGCTTCAAGGAAAAATATTTGGATTTCTTCCTGAAGCCGTTTGAATATTCCACTTCCCCTACCACCCCATCTTTTCATATTTTTTTTTTACTAATAGGAATATTTTATTACATAATATGGTACAGAAGATTTAAGAGATACATTATTGATATAAAGGTGGCATATACGGTACATGTTGTTACGTGTGTATCACCGATTATAAGGCGAAAAAATCATCCAGCTCCTCAGAGCTGGGGCGTGTGCCCAAAATACAGCAGGCATTACCCATTTGAACAGCCGCACTGAGCCGCTGGAACAGAAAACTAGCTGCCCTGGGATCCCTAGTTACCCTGATGAGTCTTTTTCCCAGCTCCTTAAGGAATTTAGATGCACTCTTTCCCCATGAGCCAAGGGTCTCTGAGCCTATGGGAACAAACATATAATGATGGGCAAGTTCTCCATATTTTCTAGACTTTTGGGACTCCCTGAAGCTGGCAGGTGCCCCTCCTTCCTCCCTGGTGTATTGGAGATAGGTATCAGCCAAGGTAGATGCACATGTATAGTCCCACACCACCTGCTTCCCATCTGTCCAGGCTTGAAGGGTGATACCATCTGGACGCTTCTGGCTGCCATCAGATCTGCATAGTTGGGGTGGCTCCCTTACTGCTGGGCATCCAGCTGTTGTGAGGCTCCTCTTGATAATGTTATTAACCTCCTCATGTCTTGCAATCTTTCCCTCGGATTTACGGTACACAAGACCATGGTACCCGAATAGGTCTGCTGCTTCACTGCCACAAATACACCTGTGTTCGGCGAGAATAGGGGCGGCAAGTCGAAGGGCAACACCGATGCGGATGGTCTGTGGGTCGAGATGTGTGCCAAGGCTGGAGTTGGGAACAGCCAACAGAAAGTCCCCAGCATGAGGGGCTCTCACTGCCAGGAGGCGGGCTCTATCCTTCCCTGACACACTCTGAAGCATTGTTGAGGCAATATTTTCCACTATTGGACCATCCATATATATATATATATAATATTAATATATAATATATATATATATATATATTATTATATATATATTATATATATATATATATATATATATATATATATATATATATATATATATATATATATATATTATATATATATTATATAATATATGCAAATATCGCAAACCAAGTGATACAGGATTCAAAACAACCATGGGGGGAGTAGAATGATGGCTCTAGGCCTCTCTTGTTGCAATCAACTCATCATCAGAAGCTTGCAAAATTGTAGAAAAGAGGAGGATGTACAAGCAAGTACATTCCCAAAGGACCGTCTTCACTGGAGTGGTTGAGTGAGATAGGGAGAGAAAAGGAAACGGGATGTTCTCCCAGGCACAACAGTGCCCACACCCAGAAGGATGAATAATATAGCATTAGATAAATCCCATAAGCATTGACACTGTAATAGCCTAAATGAAGTTAACGTGGCAATAATAAAAAAATCGGTCATATTCCTCTATGATATCAATAACTTTACATAAATATATTGTCAGTGATCCAGAAGTTACTGGCAATTATTCGGTAGCCTCCAACGGGATGAAACCCAATAAAGTGATGAGAAAATGATAATATTTAAAGGGGACCCCTCAAGGAAGGTTCCTTGATGTTGGTGAGGGGCTCTTGATTTAGGGAATTGGATCTGTGCTCCAGTTCCCCGAATTAAGCCTGAATGCCTTCCACATATCCCCCCCCAGGCGCTGTATAATCCTCCGGGTTTAGCGCTTCCCCCTTGATTATAATAATAATAATTTAAAGGGGAGACTTCTATAAGTTATATAAAGGAAATCTTCTAAGAGCATTCTCGTTGTATGGGAGGATCAGCACATTCTTGGTCTGAGGTGTTATCCTGACAGTGAAGACGGTTTTTTGGGAACGTACATGCTTGGACATCGTTCTTTATTCTAGAGTTTTGCAAGCTTCTGATGATGTGTTGATTGCAACATGAATGGCCTAGAGGTATCATTCTACTCCCCCCATGGTTGCTTTGCATACACACACACCTAAATGTACTCACCCAATTGTGGTTGTAGAGGTCGAGACTCAGCTCCTGGTCCCGCCTCTTCACTGAACGCTACTAGGTAGTTTAATAATAAACATATACGATGAAACATTTTTTGCAAGTTTGGTTCAGAATGGTTTTTGCGAAGTTATTGCATACAAAAATTTTTGCTTTCCTTATCCGGCACGTATGCTTCACACAAATATAAGAGTGTTGGCATAACTATGCTCTTATATATTCCTTTATTTGCTTCCGTGGACAAAGTTATTTGTCTCCACAGATTCCTCAGAATTCCTGGCTCTACGACTGCTCTCCTTATCCTCCTGGGTCCTTTGCCTTCTATATTTCTTCCATTCCCTAGCACACTTGGTTTTGACCTCCCTGCACCGTTGGGTGAACCACGGGCTCGTCCTGGCTTTTTTGTTATTCCTGTTACCCTTGGGCACAAACCTCTTCTCAGTTTCCTTCTCGTTTAAAGACTTCCCTGCCAGTTCTCTGTCCCACTGCACTCCACTGAGGAAGTTCTTCATGCCTGCATAGTTCCCATTCTTGTAGTTTGGCTTCATTCGTCAGGCCCTTCCTGCTTCCCCCTCAACCTGTAACTCTACTATGTATTCGAAGCTCAGAACCACATGATAACTGGCCCCAAGGGGTCTTTCATATGTGATGTCCTCAATATCTGCACTACTCAAGGTGAATGCTAGGTCCAGTCTCTCTGGTTCATCCTCTCTCTGGTAGTGTCCCTTACGTGTTGGTACATGAGGTTTTCCAGTACCACCTCCATCATCACAGCCCTCCACGTTTCTTGGCCCCCATGTGGCTCCAAGTTCTCCCAGTCGATTTCCTTGTGGTTGAAGGCACCCATGATCAGTAGCTTTGCCCTGCTCACATGAGCCTTTCTGGCCACTTCAGCCAGTGTGTCATCCATCAATATTACTCTCATCATACTCTTGCTTGGCCTCCTGTTCTTCTGTGGTGGGTTATACATCACTGCAATTAACTCCTTGGGACTTCAAGGCTGAAGTGCTCCTATTATGTAATCTCTTGCTTCTCCTCTGTTTCCTTTCTCCAGCTAATCAAAATCTCATCGGTTTTAGATAAACAGTGCCACTACTCCACCCCCTTTGTTCCCTCTGTCTTTCCTCAGGATTTAATATCCAATTGGAAAGATGGCATCTGATATCCCTGTGAGCTTGGTCCAGTGATGCCTCTTTAACTCTTTCGTCCCACTCGTCCCACTAATTTATTCCATCAGCGCTTGTTTAGCATACCTTCAGTCTGTGAGAGTGGGGGGACTGGCAGTGTGCTGTGGGATCCTACAGTGTGGTGTGGGGTGGGGGCTGAGTGTGGGTTGTGGTTTGTGTTGGGATAGCATGTTTGGTTGTGGGGTTCTGGGGATGGTTCTGTGTGTGTTTCTCTTGTTGCTCTGCCATGTTCTGGTTGTCCTCTGCTGATTCTCTCCTTGTCTCTCTTCCAAGCCCCTTTTGCTTTTGTGTCCTCTCCCTCAGCTGCTGTCATTCTGTTTTTGTTCTGTCTCTTTCTAGGAACACCCTCTTGTATGCTTACTATTCTTTCAACCGTCAGAGAATAGGGGGGTACTTGAAGGGGAGAAATCAGATTGATTGGCCATTTTCTCTCCTTCAAGTACCCTCCTATTCCTTGAAAATTTACGATCTCAGACATGTCCTCTTCACCTATTTCTTTGATGATGTTTTCAATCTCCTGTCTTTCTGCTTGCCATCTTTCATTGTGTCCTTCCCTCGCTCTCATGAAGCCCATGAATAAACACTGACTTTGCCCTCTCTTCCTCCCTTTGCCTTTCCCTGTGTGTGTGTGTGTACTCACCTATTTGTGGTTGCAGGGGTCGAGTCTTAGCTCCTGGCGTGTGTGTGTGTGTGTGTGTGTGTGTGTGTGTGTGTGTGTGTGAATAGCAGAAAAATTAATGTGGGATTGATTCTAGGTAGTTGAGAACAGGATTGTGTCACTAGTGCCACTTCCGTAACAGGCCGTCAGAGCAACCATAGATGAATGGACAGAGTAGGGCCTGTTTACCTACATCATCTCAGTTCAAACCTCCGTTAAGTAACATCATTTATTGGTACAACTATAACAAAATATTTATGTTGCAGATGCAGTTCAAGATGTTCGGAGTGTGTGTGATGGTGGTTAAAATCTGGATAATGGTACATGTTGCTTCCAGTACGTCTCTGCAGCAGCATCAAAAACAACACAAGACTTGTCCACTCAGATACCACCTCCCTCTCGCCATCTCCCATTCCATTACCACACACACACACCACCACCACACCACAGACAATCCAATAGGAGATTACATAAGCAATGAACCAGCAGAGGATGCAAGCAAGCTACCGGCAGACGACCACACAAACAATCCACTAGCAGATTACATAAGCAGTGTACCAGCAGACGATGCAAACAAACAACCAGCAGATGATGCAAACAGTACCCCAACAGTCGATGGAAACAATCCACCAGGAGATGACCACACAAACAATCCACTAGCAGATTACATAAGCAATCCACCAGTAGACAATGCAAACAATCCGCCAACAGATTACAAGACAAACAATTCACCAGAAGAATTAACAAATAATCCAGCACCAGACTATACAAATAACTCACCAACAGAAACAGATTATTCAGCAAATCCACCAACAGACAATACAAATAATTTTCCAACAGATTATATAAGCAATTCAAAAGCAGACGACTACGCAAACACTCCACTAGCAGACAAGCACACAGTCAAGAGGTCATTATCATCCACCGATTGACTACCAGTCATTAGTAACCAAGCTTTCCTGGCGTCGTATACGAGTTCTACCTTGACAATAGGTCTACAAGAACTGCAAGCCTCACGCACCGTTATCACAGCTGCAGAACAAAACCGTGACCACGATTCGCTTATGGGGAAAATACGTTCAACTGAAGACGAAGCTGAACGAACCAGACCCCGAAGGGTATTACTAGGAGCTAGGACCTACGCTGCGGTCTTGGAAGAATTTAGAAAGACTTCATCCGGTAGAGAGGGAGAGGATCCTCCTGCAGAAGAGGTGGCCAACATGATCTCATCCTTGCTGACTCGTCATTTAGCCGGATGCTATAAGGTAGTTCACTCTTCCAGGGAGGTCACTTGATGCTGGTGAGGGCCCCATAATATTTGTAGTCCTAGTCCTTGTTTCCAATGTAATTGTCTCCGTTTTCCGAGGCGCTGAATGATCTCTTCAAGTTTAGCGCTTCCTCTAACATTAATAGGCTTTATTACATTCAGTAACAGCCAAAAAAAAAAAGTAGGATTTATAAAACGCTACTTTTGCATAAAACAACATAATGCCTTGTAGTGGTTTGTGATGTTCACGTTACCTGTTGCTGCTAAAATTATGTACACACATCCTTCAAGGGAAGTTACTTGACACTAGCTAGGGGCTCTTGATTCACGGAATTAGGCTTAATCTTCCTTTGTGTGGAATCGGATATTGGAACTCAGTTCAGGACATTTACTTAAGGAAACGTTTCGCTCCGAGTAGTTTCTTCAGTCTTGATAGACTGATGAAGTCGCTCATGGTGAAAGGTTTCCTTTAATGAATGTTCTGAACTGTACACAAGTGTCTTTTCCACAGTTTGTTGCTATCACTTTACCATTTGATATTGACTTCCTGTGTCCTGGATCAAACCTGATTTCTTTCCAGTCTCCAAGGTGTTGTGTGGCTCTTTCGGTTTTAACGCTCCGTTTGAGCATACTATTAAATATTTACACTGAGAGGTGTCTGAGGGATTACGTTACTCCATGTTTTAGGGAATAAATTATTCTTCAGTGATGTAAATGTTTAATGAAAGCACAATTACCCTTGTGTAGTCGCTGGGCTTTAAACTAGACACTTAACCCAATGGTGTTACCCCAGATGGTGTTGTATACCCCGGAAGAACCATATCTGGGAGTGGTGGATGCTGTGGTGTCAAGCCTGGGTGATGCTACGTTACTGTGGGAAATGGACTCCTTCCTGCTCACTTCACCTCCGTACACTGTGCTCACTACCACCCATCACCACGCACACGCCTACTGCGTCGCTTTTGTTATTCTCGCTCGCCTCCAGGTAAGACCTCACGGTCCTTGAGTTTAAGGACTCTTTATGCAAGGAATTGGAGTTACTTCCCCTTCCTTGGATCAAATCATTAATACACTTCCTCTAGCCGCCTCATCGCTTCAACGTTCAGAGAAATAATTTACTCGTATACAGGTCTTACACCATAATTATTCATTATTTATATCAGTAGTAATATTAGTATTTTTTGACGAGAAGGATGTGGGCCGGGTGACGACGGCGATACAGAGGGGCAAGTGGTTCCAGAATGCAAGCAAGATGATGCTGGTCTACACGGGATCTGTGCTTCCCCTCGCCACTCTAGATCAACACAACTTCTTCGGTACTTATCTAATACTAGTATTCCTCACTGTACTACTTTTTAAAAAGAGTTTAATTCAGAGAGCGGAAAAGATGCTGAGGTGGTTTGAGCATTTATTCATCATAATTTGCTATATCCTTTTTTCTAAGAGAATGTATAAATCCTGATGGGAAGGACGGACAGGTAGGGGCCATTCATGGAAGTCTTAGAGGGAGGGTGTGAAACAATTTTAAGAGGTATGGGTTCGAATATCTCAGGTCATTGATCGGGCCGCGGGAACGTTGACCCTCAGAACACTTTCCAAGTATACTCCAGGTAGGAGTTATTGCGAGTATGTGAACGTTCCTGTGGGAATTTATTGAGTTCAAGAAATCCCAAAGGGCCATTGTAAACAAACAGTAGAGGCCTCTAGAATTTACGCCGACAAAGCATCATGAGTCAGCACATAATCATTGATAGGTTTACACTAATTTGATAGATTACAGGTTTTAGGTAGAATTGGGAACTAATAATAGAATTAAATATTGTAGTTTTAGGTTTTAATATGTTTACATTAAGTAGAAACGAGCAGGGATATTAGGTAAATAGTGACATCTAGCGGTGCTGCTGCAAATTAGAGAAAGACTCTGGTAGCCATTTTGCACAAGGACCTGTGCCGTCAGCACCTCCATACATGTTTCTATCTCTTGAATCCCACACGGTTTCCCAGCGTTACCTGGCAGTTAACAACGTGATTCAGAGGCCTTACAACGAATCATGGATACGAGTTTCTGCCAGAACCGTTGGTGATACTACTTACTGTATTTTGCCCCTAATCACGTGGCCACTGATACTGGGTAGGGAAATCAGATCAGGGATAGTTGACTTACGGTTAATAAGCGAATGTATGACCAACGATCAGGTAATTTGTAATTTATATTTACTATATGTTTTACAGTTTTTACTCCTGAAAGTGTTGTAGAAACCACTTGCGAGACATTTGGAGTCTTGGTGGTCTGGTGGCTAAAGCTTCCGCTTCACACACGGAGGGCCCGGGTTCGATTCCCGGCGGGTGGAAACATTCGACACGTTTCCTTACACCTGTTGTCCTGTTCACCTAGTAGCAAATAGGTACCTGGGTGTTAGTCGACTGGTGTGGGTCGCATCCTGGGGGACAAGATTGAGGACCCCAATGGAAATAAGTTAGACAGTCCTCGATGACGCACTGACTTTCTTGGGTTATCCTGGGTGGCTAACCCTCCGGGGTTAAAAATCCGAACGAAATCTTATCTTATCTTACTCGGCCATGTAAGATCTGATGCAAGTATTACCAAGGCTGGCTCCTCCATAAATATATTATTATTATAATCAAAAAGAAGCGCTAAGCCACAAAGGCTATACAGTCCATAAATATAATAATAGAAAAAATAATTAATAACAAACACTATTGTAAGAAAGAACACTATTTGAAAGAAAAATGAAATATAAAAATAATTGAATTCAACGCTAATTTGTACAGAGGTAATTGTTGAATATAATGTCGACGTTGTTGACACAGCGCATTGTGGAAACTAGCCGTTGTTGATGAGGGGGGGAGGGGTGTCACAGCTGGTATGTGACAACCCGTCGACTATTCAGCCACACTGTCTAGCCTTGGATGATCCGACAAGATGATAGGAATGCAGGTCTTTCACCACTGCAAAGATGAGGGGTAGCTGTCTGGGTTTAGCCGCATTAAGGCAAGTAGATCGTGGGTGAAGTCTCTGAACCTAAGTTAGGTTCCTCTCCTTCAAGCCTCTGTAGTTGCCAGATAACCCTAGCTGGCAGTCCAAGCTAGAAAGAGAAAAGGTTCCCACCGCTCGATAAATCACTCTCCATAAGCGTAAGACATTTAAAAGACCAGTGAGGATTTAAAGACAAGATTTAAAAATGAAAGTCAAGGCAGGAAGAACTAAGGCTCAAAATTAAATGAAAGTGACACCTTTAACCAATATATCAATTAAGACAGGAGCAGAGGCACATACAGATGTGTTGGGAGCTGCTAGTCAAGTGATTATCCATTTGGTTGGAATCCCACACGTCACCTCTCAGTGTGGAGAAAAGGTCGGGGGGAGGGGGAAGCGGGAGCTAGACACTAACCCTACCTTAACAAGCAGACTCTCAAACAAACTAACGTCACCATATTGTCGCTCGCTACTCCTATCTGTTGAACTTTAACCTCACACAGTGTCAAAAGTCCTTGCTAGAGAGAGCTTCTCTCAAGAAAGTAGACATTACAAACATTTTCATAGTGCCAGATAGCCAGACTTAAGACCTGATGGTGGGAAATACAGAACTTGCATTCTGAAGGAGGGGTGGGGATGTTGAATTTTTTTTTTATATTTTATTTAAAACATCTTACAGTGTATACATATGCAATACATAAGCTCACTGAAGCCAAAGAAACAAACCGTATCATTGACCTCTTCACTTTCGGACCGGGAGGTTGTCCTGTACCTTAGCTCTTGCATTCGTCACACACACCCTTGGTGGAGAGCGGACGTTGGCTGTTGTGCTTCTGTCTGTTGGTAGCAATGCGAGATTTTCTCAAGATGGCGCAGGCTGCCAGGAGACGTGTCAATATTGTGTGCATAGAAGTGCTGAAAGGTGCGGTGTATAACACAAATGCATCTGTTCTACTGCCTGCTATCTTATGAGATGCATATGGAATCAACAATGAAGATCTGTATGGCATTGCATTAAACGGCTCAACGAGAATATTCGTGAAATTCGTGACGACTGTGACGTATGACAAGATGGTGGATCAGTACCAGGATGTGTGCATGACGGTTAACCCTGGTTTGGACGTGAGAATGAGGGACGTGTCTAAGTACTATACTTGAGTAAAAATATGGAATGTCCCCTTTGAGGTGGATGAAGAAGACATCAAAATATCGTTTGAGGAATATGGAGTGGTACATCAAGCAACGATTGGACGATGGTCAGATGGTATGTATGCGGGACTGCGTGAGGGATCTTTCACTCTCAAAATGTCCTTGCGGCGATCCATACCTTCGTTTGTGGCTTTGAGTGATTTTAAAACTCAGGTATATGTCACATATGCCGGGCAAAGGAGAACCTGTCGATTGTGTGGTGCATTTGAACATGTGGCTGCACAGTGTCCACGACGTTCGTCGACCAGGAAACAGGGAGCAGGGACAGGAAGGAAAAAGGAAAGAGAAGTGAAGTCCCAGTCTACAGGAGAACATATTTGGGCACATAGGACGTGGAGTGAGATTGTGGATGACAATCCAGAGGAGTGTGCTACGTCACCGGAGGTAACACAGGACGTTTGAGAAAATATGTATTGAGGAAGAGTGGAACAAGTGGATTTGGTAGTGAAGTGTCGGCCTGCCATAAATAATGTTAATACAGGAATTTTTGGATGATCAGCATGAAGCTGGAATGCTGAATATAGGCTTGCATGAGCAGCATATGAATCAGGGAGGGGTACATGAGGGAGGCAAATGTGAGCAGGAGGGATGGGCAAACACAAGGCTTTGTGAAACTGTAGTTGAAATACACAAGGAAGGCAGTCCGAAAGAAATGATCACTGTTGCGGCTTCACGTAAGAGGGAGGCAGTTGCCTCGGACAGTGATGATATTCTTACGCCTGCACCACGTTCGGGTAAAAAACAAACAGTGGATGTGGCTAGGAAAGTCAGGAGGGAGGGGGTAAGGGGAAGGAGAAAGACGTGACTAGGAACGGGCATAGTGAAAAGAATACTGATCAAAAACGTAAAGAAACACATGGTAAGAGATCGATTGGTAAGCCCCCGTTAGCATTTTTAAGTGTTTAACATTGAATATAAATGGCCTCAGGGCTAAAGTGAAGAGGAGGATGTTCAGTGCCTTTTTAAGGCGATATGGGGTACAGGTCATCCTTTTACAAGAACATAATTTTAAGTTAGGTCGGAATTTATTAGTTGACGGGTACAAAGTTTAAGCTGGGTATACAGGTAAACTCAAGGGAGGTGCTGCAGTTTTAATAGCGGAGACAAGTCCATTTCAAATGTTACACTGGGAAGAAGGGGGGATGGAGACTAGTAAGGGTGGATGGTACATGGGGTGGGGTTCCTGTGTGTTTAGTAAGTGTTCATATGCCTGCAGACAGCAATAGGCGCGTAAAGGAAGATTTTGTGAGGGATGTTCTTATTTATCATATGCGAGGGCTTCCTATATATATATTATTTGGGGGGGATTGGAATTGTGTGATCTGTAGGAAGGATGTGGAGCCGAGAGGAGCCGGGTGTGTGTTGGGGGTCCTACGAGATGTATTAGGGGGAGTCGGATTAGTAGATGTAGTGAGTGGGGAGGGGCGGGTGGTGGAGCATACTTATGTGAGAAGTGGATATGCAGCACGCTTGGATCGCATTTATGTCTCTCCTGGGATACAAGTTAATAATATCAAAACTGTAAATGTAGTATTCTCGGACCATAGAGGGGTGGTTGTGAACGTGGGTTGGGATGAGTTGCCGAAACGTTTTATGAGTTATTGGAAGCTAAATGTGAGCTTGTTAGAGAATATGGAAGGTGGACTTAGTTTTGTGGAATGGTGGAAAAATGAATGGAATAAAGGCAAGCTGGGAGGTGATATATTACTGTGGTGGGAGAAATGTGCTAAACCAGGAATCCGTAGTTTTTATATGAGGAGAGGAAAGAAGGTTGGACAATGGAAATATGGATTACAAAGGTATTTGGAGGGACAGTTAAAGCAGTGTTATGTAGATAGTAATGGAGTTTATCAAGTATCGGAGATTGAGGATATAAAGACCCAATTGCTGGAGATGCAGAATGCAAGGTTTGATGGTGAAAGATTAAGGGGTGGTTTGGAGGATGTTTTATGGGGTGATAAACCATCAGCTTGCGTTCTGCGGCGATTAAAGAGCTGGCAAAATATAATGAACATGTTAAAGTTAGAAGTACATCTGGACGTGGGTGGGTACAAGGTGGGACAGTGGTTAGTAACGACTGAAGGTATGAGTGGTTTTGCGGATAAATGGTTTGAGATATATATGAGAAGGGGTAATACAAAGAAGAGGGACTTGCATATTATGGAGGAAGGGATAACACGAACCATGGAATCAGAAGACAGGGCGAAGATAGAGGGACCGATAAGAGAAGACGAAGTGTTTGAGGCATTACAGGGGATGAGTGTAAGGAAGACGCCAGGGATTGATGGTATTCCAAATGATTTTTATTTAAGTAACTGGGAGGTCTTGAAGGAATACTTGGTGCATTTGTTGAATGAAATGAAGGTAAAGGGATGCATGGGCATGACGCAATGAACAGGGGTTGTTGTCATGATTCCGAAGGGGGTAGTACAGAATAGCATCCTGGATTATAGAGGTTTATCTTTAATGTGTGGAGATTATAAATTGTTTGCAAGGGTTTTAAGTAATAGGTTACGTAGTGTTATTGGGAGGGTTATAGATAAGGGACAAATGGGTGTGCTGGGGCAGTCAATGATTAGTGGACATGGGAGGATAAAGGACTATATAGATGACAGGAGGAAGAGTGGAGAGGGTGTACTTGCATTGGATTGGAAGGCTGCTTATGATTGTGTAGAGCGAGAGACGTTATGGATGATAGTGAGGCACATGGGTTTTGGCGAGGAAATTGTCCGATGGGCCAAAACATTATACAAAGGCGCAGTATTACAGGTGCAAATCAATGGACGTGTGGGGAAGGTAGTTAGTATGGGTAGGGGACTGAGACAGGGATGTCCCATGTCTCAAATCCTATTTGGATGTCTGCAAGATCCTCTATATAGGATGATTAATGTTGGGGTGAGTGAATGGGGAATACGACAGCGGGGTGCTCCTGATATAGTTGGGTATGTTGATGATACGACGGTTTTAGTTGGGGGAGAGGAGGGATTAAGGAATGTAGGTCGCATCATTGAGATATTTAGTAGGGCAACAGGAATGTGTCTTAATGGAGTTAAGTCTAAATTGTTAGAGGTTGGTTCATGGGTGGGAGGGAACTTGGGACAAAAGTATAGTTGGCAGGTAGTAGATCAAATTAAAGTCTGTGGGGTATTATACAGACGGGAAGTGCAGGAAGCTAGAGATGCCAATTCTGTAAGGGTTGTGCAAGGAGTATTAAAGAGACTAGGGGGAATACGTTGAGTGGGCTGACGATCCATCAGAGGGTCATAGTTACAAATACACTCATTTATCCTAAATTGTGGCATGTGGCAGTTGTTTACCCGTTGATAAAGAATGATGTGAGGTTGGTTCAAAAGAAGGTTATGTGTTTTATTTGGGGATATGGTTATCACTGGCTTAAGCAGACAGTTGTGACAA